TCTAATCCCAATTTGAGGCTGGCTTTATCGAACATCTCCCTCTCGTAGGAATTACGAGTGATAAGACGGTACACCTTCACAGCTTTGCTCTGCCCAATTCGATGACACCGTGCCTGGGCCTGTTTTTTTTTTTTTTAAAGGAAAGCAAAAAGGTAACATAAATGTAACAAAAATGAGGGAGGGACATGACACACAATTTCAAAGTATTTCATATTCATAAAGTCAACTCAAAAGCAAGAGTAAATTTTAAGAAGAAATGATTGCCTTGTGTAGAAGATTAAGCACACTACAGAATAGACTATGTAGACATCTATTTCTCAGAACTTTTACCAGCCCAGTCCTATACAATCATTAAACAGTAACCTTGGCTGCCGGTGTGCTACAGGAGATAGAAGTACTTGTAACAGAGACCACATAGCAAACCAAACCTACAACATTTAGAGTTTTATCTATGTAGAAAGTTTGCTGACCTAACTGCTAGTTCTAAGTAATTCTAACCTCTCCAGAAGACAGGCCCCTCCTGGGTTAGGCAGGTAGTTCCTAAGACAGCAATTTTCTTTACCTGAAGATCATTTTGTGGATTCCAATCTGAATCAAAGATGATACAGGTATCAGCAGCTGTAAGATTAATACCAAGTCCACCAGCCCGAGTGCACAACAAGAAGACAAAGCGGTCTGAATCAGGCTTGCTGAAGCGGTCAATAGCAGCCTGTCGAAGATTGCCTCTAACTCTCCCATCAATGCGTTCATATAAGTACCTGTAAAGGGTCACAGGAACAACTTATGTATGTGGCTAAGCAGAAGAAACCAAAAAGGCAGGCAAGGCTTGATTCCTGTTCCCCCATAACTCTATCTGGCCAACAACCATATTAAGTTGAGTAAGAATCTTTTAAATACTTTTTATAGTGGGGCTGGGGAGATAGCTCAGTAGGGTAAGTGCTTGCCTGGCAAATGCAAGGGCCTGAGTTCAATCCCCGGTTCCACCAAAAGACAGACAGACAGACAGACAGACAGACGGCTATAGTAACTATAATTAAACCCAGGCTTTCCTTCTATTTTCTGAAGCTTTTAAATCATTTTATTTTTTGTGGTGATTGGGATCAAACCCAGGGCCTCATACACAGTAGGCAAGCACTTTACCACTGAGCTATACCCCAAACCCTTTTTTTTTTTTTTTTCCAGAGCCAGGGATTGAACTCAGGCTCTTGCGCTTGCCAGGCAAGTGCTTATTCTACTGAGCCATGTCCCCGGCTCCACCCTTTTGTAGCTTTATGCAGATACTGTAACTACAAGACACACAGACTTTTCTCACCTCCTCTGGATTAGATAATCCTCTAGAATATCAAGGCAGCGTACCATCTGGGAGAATATCAGAACTTTATGGCCACCAGCTTTGAGCTTTGGAAGTAACTTGTCAATAAGAACCAATTTGCCAGCTGAGCGAACCATGGCCTGAAGATGGAAGTCATGAGGTATAATATGGGAAGCTTCTCGAAATTCTGTTAGGATTTTTTCTTCTGCACCTGCCATAAAAAAAAATCAAAGTCGACAGTGAGATTCAGCGACAACATATTAAAACTTAATTAATTGGGGTCAAAATGCAGAGGGCCGGGGATATAGCTCAGTGGCACAGCACCTGCCTGGCAAATGTGAAGTCATATGCTCAATTCTTGGTACAAATAAAAAAAGTAATCTGTCCCGAGATCAACATTTCTCACACACATAAGTTTAGCACCAAAAAAATTCTCATCTATCATTTATAATACAAGTAAGGCAGGCCTAACATGAGTAAACCAGGTATAAAATAAAAATTAAAAAAAAAAGGAACTGCATGGGCAAGGACTAAGATGAAGAAACAAGTCATATTACCATCATAAAGGTACCCCAAAAAAGAAATGGGTGGGGCTGGAGAGATGGCTCAGTGGTCTAAAGCACCTACTTGAAACAAGCTTGGCAAAGCACAGGGACCGCGGTTCGATCC